GTGCCTTCATGGGTTGCATCCACGGAGGGGAACTTTCTGAAGGATTTGTAGATGGTGGTGAGACGGACGTCCTCTCCGACGGTGATTCGTCCACCGGTTCGACAGATTCGTTGTATCTATTGCAAGACGGTGGGCCTGGGGGCTGTTCCGACGGCAGCAGTATTCCGGACCCCTCTGAGCCGCCAAGCTGGGTAGGAGTCTTCATGGCTGGTACTCAACCCGGTCAAAACTCTACGGCTGCAGCCACAATAACGTCTGGGTCAGGAGCGGTCGGGGTAGGAGACCCTGTGCGCCCGCCGGCTCAGGTGCTGATGGATCTCATGGATAAGCTGACGGCCCTGTTAACCGCCATAGTTATTCCTGCGAATCAAGATGAGCATAATGCGGAGGTGGCACAGGTGCGTGAGGAAATAGCTCGGGCTAAGGAGGCCTTAGCAGCTGAGGACACCGGATTGGCCACAGAACGGGCGGCTTTGGATGCACGGGCGCAGCAGCTCCAGTCAGAGGCTTACCAGCTTACGATGAGCCTGAACGCGTCTAACGAGGTGATGAGGAGGAGACATCAGAAAACTCAGTCCCGTTTACCTCCGGTTTACGATCCTCGGAACCTTTTCACTACACCCGGAGCCGGCCCAAGTAACCCGCCAGAAGCAAATTAGTTCATGAAAGCCGGGGCAGGGGGGCCGGTTCAGCCTCGGGTGATGGTACCTCCTCATGGGAATATGGCCCCGCCCCGCTATGTGCCGACACCACCGGGTCACTTTTCTAACCCCATGGAGAATCTGATTGCAGCATCGGCATGTTTGGCGGCTCTCCCAGTGGATGGTGATGATCCAACAGCTGTAGAAACGCAACAGATCAGAGAACCTGTCCAGACGGCCCTTGCTCAGCAAGAGGCTTATTCCTACAGTCGGGACAGGATTCATTCAACTCCCCGTCCAAGCCGGAGCCCGAGTTACAGCAGGCACATGGAGTCGGAAGCCTTGTCAAGCAACGCCCAGCGCCATAACCAGCCCGGCGGTTATAACCCAGTGCAGGACCGGATACGTCAGGAGGACCAACGGGCGGCTCAACTGGCGGCTCAGCAGGCGACTCATCAGGCCTTCCCGGATTATCCAACAACTTCTGTTGAGGCAAGGGTAGCCACCAGAACCGGCGGTGTTCCTTGTTTGGTGTCGGCTTTGCGTAATGTGCGTCTGCCTAAAGATTTCAAGGGACCCCAAAAGGTGCCAAATTATACGGCCGACTTACAGCCCGGGGCCTGGATTGAGAGCTATGAGATGGCTATGGAGCTGCTGGAGGTCAGGGACGCGGCTATGGCCAAGTATTTCACCATGATGTTGGATGGGACGGCCCGATCTTGGTTAAAGGGCCTGCCGCCTAATTCCATCGGCTCATGGGCAGAGTTAAAAGCCCGGTTCATTCAGAACTTCAAAGACACCTGCAAAGAGTCCATGTCAATTGTGGACTTAACTAACTATAAGCAAGAGGAGGGTGAATCTACCACTCATTGGGTGCGCCGGGTCAAGGAGATAATACATTCGTCTGACAAGATGGATGCGGGCTCAGCAGTCCTCATGTTGGAGAAGAATTGCCGATTTGAACCACTGAGACAAAAGTTGGGGCGCCTCAAGCGTGATTGCAATGACATGGGTACGCTGATGGTAGCTTTATTCAAATATGCCAATTCTGATAGTACCAAGGATCCCGCGTCTGATGAGGAAAAGACAGGGAAGGGAAAGAAGAACAGCAATGGAAAGGGTCAGTAGCACAACCCGGCAAATCAAGGAGGTAATAAGCGTAAAGCTGATGGTAACCTGGAATTTGTGGCCAACGCCAATGCGCAGGGTAACAATCAGAGACGCAAGGGGAAACCTCCCCCCCCCCCCGATCTGGCGGGTCAGGCCCATCTCTTGAGCAGCTACTCAATGAGCCCTGTCCGAGACACGGCACCCGAGAGAGGCCGGCAACTCACTTATGGAAGGATTGCACGATCATGAAGGCTTTCAAGAATTCCAACATGTTCGATGGTAATCATGGGTCAGGTGGCGGCTCAGGAGCCGGCGGTTTTCATGGCCCGGGTGGTGGTTCAAATTCCGGCTTTCAGGGAAATCAAGGTGGATATAATCAGTAGCAGTCTGGTCAGGGAGGTCAGCAACAGCAGCAGTCAGGTTATCAGAGCCATCCGAAGCAGCTGAATAGTGGACAGTATCACGTGTTCACTACTAGCTTATGCAAACGAGACCAGGAGATTCATAAAAGGGTTGTAAACTCTGTTGAACCGGTGGTTCCCCGTTATTTGAGGTGGTCAGAACAGTCTATTGTGTGGAGCAGGGAAGATCACCCTCTCCGGGTTGACAATCCGGGTCAGTTGGCCTTGGTGGTAGCACCTCAGGTCAGTGGATACAAATTCACTAAAGTGCTCATGGATGGAGGTAGCAGCATCAACATCCTCTATTACGAGACCTTTCGACGCATGGGTTTGACTGACAAAAACTTAAAGACGTCCAACACCGTTTTCCATGGAGTGGTGCCTGGTAAGTCGGCGTACCCAGTCGGTAAGATTGAGCTAGAGGTGGCCTTTGGAGATGAGTATGATTTCAGAGCTGAGAAATTAACTTTTGAGGTGGTCAAAATCAGGAGTCCATATCATGCTCTATTTGGGCGCCAACTGCCGTGGAATTGTCACGGCAGATGTCCTCTTGCAAGGACTTAGTCGTGGAGCCATCGCAACTAGGAAGTTTAAAGGGGTTAATCGGGACAAAGGACACGAGAGAGTTATACTAGTTCGGCCCCTTACGGTGAAGGTAAGGCCTACGTCTAGTTGGGTTGGTATTGCTGAGGTTTCGATAACCAGGGAGCGAGATATGCTATGCCCGGTTCTCGATGAGTTGTTTCTTGCCCTAAGCCGCCAGCGGGTCGTCCCCTTATATACACGGGTTGACGCCCTGCGGCCTACAGAGTCCCGGCCGGCTCATAAACAGTGTCCGGCTCGGTGACTAGTTAATTCTACCTTATGATACAAGTCATGCCATTACGGCGGTTTACCACTACGGGCCTTAAGTCGCCTGTGGGCTTTAGACCCTTTACTGAACCGCCATCTTCATGCTTGGTCTTGGTCCTCTTCTTTGCGTAACCCGGCCCCTTACGGGCGGTTTACACAAATAGTTATATCCCCAACAGTATATCTCAAAACACATGTATTTCCAAGACATGAAGCCCTGTAGAAATTAGAAAGTACAATATACCTTTATATATCATCGTACTGAACCAGTTTTGTTCAAGTCCTATTTTCTGTTGTTTTATCTATAAAAAAAACTGAGATGATGCTTATTCGTACCTCTTGGAAGCTAATGTAGTAAAGTTAAAGTTAGCCCCGCAAAAAAGAAGTAGCTAAAGTTAAGAACGCTGTCCGTTCAGCAATTGACATCATGCAAGCAATGGGCTCATCAACTTGGCACTTGTTGCCAAAGGTAATATTCAGAAGCTTTCTTATAGTTTGACACAATGCTACTCCCTTCCATTCTAAAACAAGTGCCATGGTTAATATTTGGATCAGAGGGAGTAGTATTTTATGCTTTTCACTGCTACTTTATTGGTCAAGGAGACCGTGTTAATGCACGGCGAACATCAAACTATTATGTTAATTATGCATTTCAAATAAGAAACAGTAGGTTGGCCAAAATATGAAAGTACCTGGCCTGATTTATCAATTGGCACCACTTGTGGTAATTATGCATTTCAAATAAGGAACAGAGTATAGTGGAGGCATATAGCTTATTTGAGAAAGATTGCTTACATGCCTCGAGGTATATAATCACCAAACATCTTTACTTTTGATGTGCAGCTGTGGTGACAGAACTTCCAGTTGTTGCCGGCTTGCCGCTGAAGAACTGGCTGCTCTCAAGGAATGCAGGCAACTCCTGGCTACAGAAGCAGCCCCACAAGTAAAAGCTTGGTCCTTTCTTTCTTTATCATCATTTCTTAATTAGGATGCTACATACACACTCTGTATCATGTTGTGACCGACTGACTGACTGATTAGAGAGAGATGTTGGTTGGTTGTCTACATACACACGCTTTGTGGCACACCCGACCGAGTAGGTGGCGCTGCCGGCCGTGGCTGACAAACAGAGCAGACCCCCACCACAGGAGCTCATCCCCCTCACCACCGCCGGTGTGCGCTGCCGGGCGAAGCCTGTGCAGCTTCGGCGGCTGCAGGCTGTTCGTTCCTTTGGCACAAGGTGAGGCGGCGCGGGACGCCTCGATCTGGCGGAGGAGGGTGCTCGGCACGGGGCTGCTGGCCGAGGTGCACGGAGGCGCGTGGAGACGTGCTCGCGCAGTACTGGCGCGGTGATCTGCGCGATGGCCGGCGTTCGTCGTGGTCTCTCGCTGGTAGCTGGCTGCTGTGCGCGTCAGGCGTGGGTGCAGGGAGCGGGCGTGGGCAGAAATAGACCTGTCTTACCAAGGATGTAGGGAGGTACCATATTGCTATTGATGATGATGCCGAAATAATTGGATGAACCTGTTGTACTTGTACCGATCTAGATGCCTAGTTTGACCGAACCAATATGTTATGTTTGTGTTCCCTACATCCTTGCTTGTAATGTATCTACTGATCATGTGTTGCCCTACTGTTGCAAGATGGACCAACTCTATCAACACACAACCTGTATCTCTAGAGACTCATAGCTTAAGTAAAGCTAAACAGTATTGAGTTATCCATAATATACTTTTTTGTGGTGCTTTCACGTGATATGTTTTGATAGTGCGGTGGCAACTCTCAGCTTTCGAATAATCAACCATAGTGATTATCATTACAGAAGGCATGTAACATCTCCAGAGAGAAATAGCAATGCATCCGATGTTGTACAGGAATTAACAGTACAATAGTTTCCCTCCATGAATTAACAATATAAGTATGAGTAGCCAAACAATGTTTATTACAGATAGAGCTGAGAAATATCACCAAGCATAACAAATAAGGTAAATTGATGAGGTCAGACCATATCAAGAAAATCAGAGTTGAAATCTTTACCGAGCTTAAGTCTGAGCTTCAAGATAGGCCATTCACCCAGCAGCTTTGTGAGAATGGGCAGTAAAGCTACCATAAGACAAATTGCAATCGCTAACCAGTGGACACCTGGAGCTAGCACCGTGTATAAACCAGTTGAAAAGGCGGTAGTTGTTGTCACGTATGCAAACCACATGAGCTTCTTAGTGAAGGATCTGTAATAAACCAAGAACTCATAATCCTCCCACTTTGCTATAATGCATATGAAGGCCACAGCAAATGAGGAGCACATTGCTAAGACGTCAGAAATCAAGAATGCCTGAAATGCAAACTTCCTAGACATGATGGGAAGTCCCTCGCTTCCTGCATCATTGCTGTATCCTCCTGGCAGGGTGAAGGCAGCAGCAAAGGTGATAGTCGCAATAAGAATCGCCACTAACGAAGTGTTGCTTGTGTATGTTTGAGTTAGTGATTTTGCATCCTGCCTTGATGCATCAGTCGTCCGTCGCTTGACACGAATGTGAAGATTATGAAGAACAGGAGCATCATGTGGCTTAGCTTTCGACATAAGCATGGCCACTTCATTCTGCATGAATCCAATGGAATAAGGTAAGGTAAATCTTACAGTGTTAAAAATAAACCTAAGCTATTCTACTATGTAAATAACATTGTTATTCACAGTAGAATTTTTAGATTAAAAAATTGTGGCAAAAAAACTATGGGAACTCCTATCTAAATTAATTATGAAATAATCACCTTCATTTAATCTATTTTCAGTACCTTCTCTAGGCATATGTCATGCAAATAATCTTATTTTAAAGAAGAGGAAACATATTATAGTGTCTCTTCTACAGTTTCCATTCAAAAAAATGATGAAATGTCCAAATTTTCTATATGAAAAATATAAGACATATCTAAAGGATGTTAAAAAAAATGCATTTCTATCTTAAGCATGTGCATTGTCGGAAGGTCCTGGATGACTCGGGCCAAGAATCAACCGGATTTGAAATTTGAGAAGTGCTGACTCCCTGGCGGCAGCCCTTGCCACTGCTCCTCCACTCTATCTTCCCCAAATGACTCGAAGGACGACGAGACAACTGGAGAACACATGTGCCAGGACTGACAATGAAGTGCGCGGAATTTGACGAGGACGATGAGATGGGTACGGAGGGAGGGGTTACCTCAAGGACTTTGTAATGGGAAGTGCTACATATAAATAACAGCGTTGGGATTCTATCTGAGCAGTGGTTAGTAGAATCGCAAAAAAATATGATTTGTGCGAGTTAAAAGCCTAAAAATATTTCCTTTCGTTCGTTTGAGTGTCAATGGTAGCCGACAGTTGTGTCGCGTTGACTAAAAAATGTTTTGCATGCTGCATTAGAAACGATATTATGATTATTAGTTTGCTTGCATAGGGAAGGGTTACGGCAGAGTTAAATTACTAGTTTGCCATACTGTAAAATTGTTTATATGTGTGATCGACTCAAAAAAGATATTATTTGTAACATATACAAGTACGTACCCAGTTTAAAGTCTTGGCATTCAGGCTGATTTTCGACAGTTCCCAGGCTGCTGTATTACATATGTCATCAAGCAATGTTAAATCTATATCCACGTGTGACAATAAAGCAGTAACCACTCTAGGATTGCATCTTCGGACTGCCAAATGTAGAGCAGTGCTTCCGTTGTGGTCTTGCACGTTAACAAGCTTGCGAAGTATTGGCGTCCTAAGGACAAACTCAACGAACTCCGGATGATCAAGCGATACAGCTGTATGAAGCAATGTCAAACCATCTGGTTCAAGATAAGGAGCATCGGGGCAGTGTTCCAGGAGCTTTTCAGCAGGAGCAACCAGACCTCGGTATGCCGCATCATTAAGCAGAGGAAAACCGCTGTTGCCTATTAAATACCCAAGAGTTGAATCATATTCCAGCATTACTTGTAAAATGTCAATATTGGTGTATCGTACAGCAAGTACTATTGGAGTATTTTGGTATTTGTCGACTTCTCTCGCCGATTCAGGACGTTTCTTCATAATTATTTTGACAAATTCTGAAAAAACAAATGACAGGTTATCAGCCTGAAATTATATTGTACTAACAAACTGTAATTTGCAGTCCAGATATTATATGCCGCACCTTGATCTCCATTCATAACAGCAGCATGTAGACAATTGCGACCATGTTCACCTCCCGAGCAAGCTGACAAAGGATTTTGAATTAGTTTCTCAAAAACCTGTGTAAAATTTCTCGTCACCGCGAAGTACATCGGCGACTCATTGTGCTTGCCCACAGCTTGCGACAGCGCAGGCTCTGCTGTTACCAATTCCAGTGAAAGATCCTTGTGGCCGCTACAAATGGCATGGTGCAGTGCATTAAATCCGTACTTGTCCTGTTGCAGGATTGGCTGCCTCGATCCTAGCACAGAGCAGTGTCGACCGAGTAAAAAAGAAGCCAAAGAGACGTGGCCATTTCTCACTGCGGTGATAAGTGGTGTCTCCCCGTCCAAGTTTACAGCCTTGATGAGAGACTCTTCCAGTTCAAGCACGTCCTTGCAGAATCCCTCATGGCCATAAATGCAGGAAATGTGAAGGCAGGTGTTTCCTTGCGGAGTTGTTCCAAGAAGAATGCTTGGATCCAGTGCAGCCATGGCATACATTGACGTGGAAGCACCAGATGTGGCTGCTTTCATGAGCCGTTTGTCCATTCCTCCCGATGAACTAGCTGTTGTTGTTGACGTATGGCCTGCCATCTAGTATATAATAGGCCAAACTGTTCAGGTTTTCATAAAGTCCAATAAATTAAGAAATAAACTCGGTTTGACAAATTAGTAGTAACAGCATACCTGTGATGTGCAACCGTTCTTATTGTTAGAGTTATATTGATGATGTCTTTTGGCCTTTTGGCATACTCTTATACACGTATATATGTTGGCTTTTTCCGTCTAGTAATACAACTATACAACTTGCTGTTTCCCTAAGACTTATAAATAAAATAATAATAATAGTATGACAAAATAAATCTTGAAGTGTCACATAAATGTTCAATGCATGCATTGTGAAAAAAATTATTATGTTGTGCACCACAACCAATTTACATTCTATTTCTGACATTGATAGTAGGATATATCTTTTGGTTTCTGCATATGTTGATTGAATTTGTATTTTAAAATATTTTAGGATACATCATATGTCAATTTTGACAAGAAAACTAGCTCGCTACTTAAAATATGTCAGTACTGTTCGGCTACATAGAGGGACCCCCTGTATTGAGGATCTCTTGCCTCCGGATTGTAACTCTATAATTATGGAATAAAACTCCTTTTCACACCACAAAAAAAACATGCTAATAAATGGTCTCTAGTACATTGTATTTCCTTTTTTGTGTGTTCTCGGCAACATGTATTTTCTGACACAAAAAGATATCAATTTTACAGCGCATTAATTTATGCCACCTTTTTTAACACTACCCCGTTTAAAATTGTGTGGTTTCGAGAAACTTCTCACAACGATTCCTAACAGAACAATATGACAATTTGACAAGACAGATATCATGCTAACAATTTTGAGTTTCTCAGTAAATGAACGACCCCATGCGAAATATTTACGAAGTCCTTGTATCATGTGTTGGTTTGTAACAACATCCGTTCCTAAATATAAGTCTTTTTAGAGATTTCAATATGGACTACATGCAGATGTATATAAACATATTTTAGAGTGTAGATTCACTCATTTTGCTTCGTATGTAGTTCATATTGGAATCTCTAAACATACTTATATTTAGGAACGGAGGGAGTATTTGGTAGTGCAGATTGTTCACCAAGGCAGTACAAAATTTACCTGATGGCTAGCTCTGGTGGGAATGCTCTGACTGCCCTGGGAAATGCACTTGAACTCCTTAACGCTCTTGTGAGAGAAGAGAAACAATTCCCGAAATATATTTACATACACGTATTTCTTATCAATTCCTGAGAATGATTATTAGAGAGCCTCTTTAGATCAGACTACAAATTAAGACATGAATAGACAAAGATAAACCAATGCAAGTTGAAGATACATGACTCTCAGCACACACAAAAATTATAGAACTAATCATTTGGACATAACACGAGAAAAATATAGGAATAGTGTCGATGCTAATAAGCGGAAGAAATGTCGGAGTTGATGTGAAGACATAAGAAAAGGGTGCCATGAAAATTTGGTTTTATTTTTTGTTTGATCTAAAAGGTCTTAAAAATATTAAGATCATAAGTATTAAAATCCCTACAATCGAAAGAGGTCTAAATAATAAAACAATAAGATCTACGATACCTGGGTGATATATTTTTGCAGATGGCAAGAGACAATGGGGTGATATATCTCTTGGTAGTCTGTTCGAAGTAATCACCAGAAGAGGCACCTGTGGTGGAATCCTATCTTTAAACAATGGGGTGTAGCATGGAGCAACACAAGTTCGTCGCAACTGTCTTATAGGGGGGCAAAAGATGCCTGGGTTAGTATAACAAGGAAAGAATACACATTTTGCTCAAAGCAAAAGGAATGCATCTAAAGAAAAGCAATAAGGGACAGGAGATTTAAGGTTGAATCCTTGTATTCCAGCTTCCTGATTAATGAAAGCATGGAAGAATCAAAACTTTTTCTTCTCTTTACAGTAGCTGTGGTATACGGGCACATGTTCAATAGGAGATGTGGTTAAACTTCAATGGTGTTAGCTACTCATGTCAAGATAAAGAACATTGTACTTTTATTGTTACAGGAAAATGAATACTTCTATTTAAGTTGCCAATAGTTCATATAAATTAAATTGTGGTTTAATTCGGGTAAAGTTGTCCCTGAAGACGTGCTTATTATTCAGGTTTATTTATAGCTGTTTTTATGGCACTATTGCTGGCCTTCATAAGGCATTGCCAATATATCAAATATCAAATGCCATGGACTACCGGTACAAGTCCCTCTGCACCAGAAATAGGCATGTTCATGTTCATGGCCGAATAAATAGCACACAGTGGAACTATAACAGGTTTTGAGTTCACGCCATACAGAAACTGCTACAACTGAATGACTGATAGACTTACAACATATTATACATCACCCACAATGGCATAGCAGGGACCAAATCCAAGCTACCGACAGCTGCAGCGCTCGTCGAAGATATACTGGATGCTTAACTTCGCTGTACAGATACATGTGAGCTGATGCTGCCATGTTGAGAGGACCAGAAGCTATCTATGGACAGGGAGTTCGAGATGGAACTCTCTGTGTCCACCAAGTACACTGCCCGCTGCTTATTTTCGTTCTTGTTCAGTTTGCCTTACTCGGAATTTGCTCGATGAGGGCCATCTAAACTGTGATACAGCCAAACAGCATGACATGATGCCGCCCAGGTGGTTTTTGCCTATTGCTTAATGCCTATTCCCTGCATCAGCGGCCTGTGAATGAAAAAAAAAACATCTTTATACATCAGCACCAACACTATTTCGCTACTCTCTATGGATTAAATGATAAACAGCTAGCAGTGTACCAAGGGGATGATATGGTGTACTCACAGCAAAGCGTGGGGAGCGGCGGGTGACAGATCCCGATGTAAGGGGAGATGCTGTTGATCGGGGAGGGGCACCTCTCTTTGCACGCGGATCTTGATTCTTTGACCGGCTTCGGGAATGACTTTGATTGGTGGTGCCTTCGCTTGTGGTGTCAACTGACGCAGCCGGTGGGGATGAAATTGGTGTGGACGATGTGTTTGTGCACAATGAAGTTGCAGGATGAACCCCTGCTGACAGTACAAGAAGAAGTCTCTATAAATGGTATTAAAAAAATAATATGCAGCACATTTACAACTCCACATGGTAGATCGGAACAAAGAGTAAGATAGGCAACCCGCTTTTCAACAGAACTACCATGTACCATGTTCAGTATTGCTCATTATGAGAAAGTACACGAGGCATGTTCTTCAGTAGGTACTTGGCATTTCTTTCATCAGAGATCATGAACTGCTCTGCAGTAGGTACTTTGGCATTTCTTTCAGTTAGCGGTCACTGGTCAGGTTATTTTAAGTTCAAAATCCTTGAAGTTTGACAAATTTGTGAACCAAATCAGTTAAATGAAGTGGAGTTCCTACATCTTTAGAGCAGAAAACTAAATCATGATTGCATTACCAAGATTATTAGGAAGATTACGCTATACAGACACAACGGTACAATTCATGTTTCCATGATATTATAGCTCGTAAAACCTGCTGCCAGCCTCCCATCATACAGACAGGGTAGTTCATCTCGAGTTCTCGACGCTCAGTCGAAAAAACAGATTGGTGAAAATTTAGGAAAATACTCGGTACATACAGAGAACGTTATTGCCACAATATTAACAGAGTTACTCTTGGGGGGGAAATAGTGCGAAACTCAATTAACTGGCATTTCAGGGAAAATGGATTTGATACAGTTTTGTAGAGAAACATGGAATACCTTTGATTGCAGCCGCTTGGAATCTTGCTCTCATGATTCTAACGAACTTGAAGAGATCATTAGTGCAGTTCAAATCCTTCACCAATTCTTCAGTGTCTTTCAGTAATGGAGTACATTGAATTACTGTTATAAAGAAAATGAGAACTTTGATGGCATTTCAAACAGTATGAATATTAGACAGCTTGGGTAAGAAACTTGTAACTCACAGCTGTACTCGTCTTTATTGACTTTTATGCAAAACGAATACTCATCGTCAGGACTTTGCATGTCAACTTTGCTGAAGACAAATTTAACCCCTTCACACAAAAAGAGAAGAAATGTCACCCATTATGGCCTCAAGCTCACTTGAACATGTTATGGAAACTGTCATTACCTTCCCCTGCAACAACTCGAAAACCAAGAAATTTATTGTACCACATAATAGCTTCGTCCAGGTTCTTTTTCCCCATCACATCAACATTAGCTTCAAGAGCTTCGATAGCTGCCATCAAAATAAAATGTATCAAGGCATGTAGATTCCAGATTCTGCGTAGCCAAGGAAAATATATTCAAACAAAATCATAATGTTCACATGAGCACAACTACAAATTTCCAGGGCAGAATATATTGGAGCTAGGAGTTTGAAACAATCCCTCAGACTGGACTACCGGGACTTGTATGTTTGAACCCTATTAATCAACTTCTAAGTAGACTTCATACTTCAGATAATACTATGACACTTCCATCTATTGTACTAGAACCGTGATTCAGATTTTACTAACTTTTTTACCTTGGAGCTGATGTGATATGACGTTCGCAAACTCATCTCTCCTAGCCCTCTGATCCAAGAGCAGGCCCCTGAGCTGCTCGTTCGTTGCAGTGGCGTTCGAGATCGACTCGCTGGTGAGCTTACATTCTGATTCTTTCTTCAGCTGGGCTGCAGAGATAGTTCACAAGAATTGAGCGTTTCCGTGAAATGCAGCAGAGGACCACGATAGACCAGTATGAAACCAAACATTGATCACATAGTTGATAGGTTGAACCATTCATCGCAACAAAGAAGCACATTGAGTCCACTGGTGGAAATTTGCACAGGGGTGGAGAAATGCTTACTGGACAGAGCTTCTGCCAGACCTGCCTCCAGTCCCCTGAGCTGGCCCTTGAGAGCGTTGAGCTTTTCTGCCATCACAGAAAGAGGCGAATCAGTAAAATCAATCACTCGCCCATTCATCAGCATAACTGGTTCACAAATCGTAGTGCAGCCCAAGGTAACTAATCGTCCGAAAGCTACGCCCTCAGCAGGCAGGAATTTCAAGCACAAACAAACTTAGATTTGCAAATTTCACCGGCTCGCCGCCATCGCCGAACTGAACAGCTAACAATTGGTACTAGTGCGCAGTGTGCGCTTCAGAGATTGCTCCCGTGGGTACGAATCGACCAGCGGACGACCGGCGAGTTCCCCGAACGGAAGAGGAAGGACCGACGGGGTAGGCGGCGTACCTCGGTGCGCGACGCTGTGCTCGGCGAGCGAGCGGGCGGAGAGGATGGCGCCGCGGAAGGCGGAGGCGGCCGCCGCGGTGCGCTCGCGGCCATGCGCGATCCGCCGCTCGCAGGCCGCCCGCGCCGCCGCCATGTCGCGGCGCAGATCCGCGGCCTCGGGTCCTCCCGCGCGGTCCCCTTCCATGGCCGCCGTCGCCGGCTTCGGAGGCGAGCGCGGCGGTGGCGGGGGACGCCGGACGCGCAGGCGGTGGAGGCGGAGGCGGCGGCTGCTCTGCCGCTGCCGCCGGTGAGGTTGGAGGTCGGGGAGGAGCGGATTCGGTTCAAAATTTGGCCTCTCGGCTCGTTGTGAAGTTTGTGATTTGTTTTTTTGGGCTCATCTAGGTGTGACATAACAAAGTCACATCTAAGTGTGGTGTGATGTCAGCGCCACCTCATTGTTTGTTTGTTTGATTTTGATTTGTCAAAGCCCAAAACAAACAAACGAGCTTGCCCGCATCTCCGCCTGGTTGGGCCGGCCAATATGTCCACCCGCGCCTACTTGCTGGTAGGCTACCTACCAATGGCGGAGCTGGGGTATTCCTGGGTATTCTCTGGAATATCAAAGAATTTTGTGCAAAAAAAAATTACTACATATATCAATATACGATGTAGACTTACTTGGCCCAGCCAATGGCCCAATGCCCAGCCCAAACACAGCAACGCAATGACGCGGGGCGCCAGACATGAGCGACCGGGTGTCTGGTCTCGCGCGTGAGTAGCAGACCGAAATCGAATCCCCTTTCCCCTTCCCCTAACCTAGCGCTAGCTGAGGCTCCGGCGGCGGCAGCGAGCGATTCTGGTCCGGCGGCCGGCCTTCTCCTCTCGCCTCTCCCTCAGTTCCTCCCCTCCACTCCGGCCATCTCCCTCCCCTCCCCAGCTCCCCTCTCCTCCGTCCGGCCCTCTCCTCCGCGGCTCCGCCAAGCGCCAGAACGGCAGGCCGCCAGTCCGCCTCCGGCTTCCCCAGCGCGGCGGCTGCCGGCATTGCCCTCCGTCCAGCAGCAGCAGGCAGCAGGTCCGGCGACAGCGTCGTCCAGCAGCAGCAGGCAGCAGGTCCAGCCTCGGTTCCTCACTTCCTCTGTTTCTTTCCCTCTGTTTCTAACAAATCTGTAGTTTATTCAGTGAGTGCTTGTAAATTTAAATATAGTAAATTGAAATTGCAATAACTTCCTTTACTATGTGATTCGTTTCTTGTTTACTATGAAAATTGAAGTGTTTGTCCCATGTACATTAGGCCATGCCACATTGTCCCTGTCACTGATTTCTATTTTGTTTATGTGATTGTCATGCAGATGAAGAAGAAGGGTGTTACCATATTTGAAATGTGGGACAAATCTTCAAAGACAAGGAAAATAACTCCTACATCCACACCAACTTCTCTTTCCGTTGAGGTCGAGAGCAATCTGCAGCTAGCACTAGTGCAAAGACATGACGAAGCTCCACAACCGGAGAGGGAGACAACTCCAATTGTAGAAGATGATGAAGCGGTCGATGAAGATGATGAATCAATGCCCCAATTTGAAGCAGATTTGGCAGCTTTGGAACGTGATCCCGGCAAGCGACTTCCCATATCTTCATATCATGCCAATGACCAAGATAGAGTTAGAAGGAGATACATTGACTTGGGTGCTTGTCAACCAAAGGATCATAAGTTTGAGATCAGAGATTTTAGTGGACATCCCCGTCGCTTTTGCCCTACTTGGTTTAAGTATTATAAGTGGCTTGAGTATAGTGTGCAAGAAGAGGCTGCTTTCTGCTTTGTTTGCTACTTGTTCAAGGATAAAACAAAAAGTCCCGGAGGAGATGCATTCGTGAACGGTGGGTTTAATAATTGGAACTTGAAAGCTAGATTGAAGAGGCATATTGGTGCTGTTAGTAGTGCTCACGCTGAAGCTCAAGAAAAGTATGATATGTTCACTACACCTACAACATCAATTAGGGAGTCCATTGCTTCAAACACCACACAGTACAAGGTTCTATATAAGCTCCGTGTGACATGGACACTCAAGTGTTTAAGATTCCTATTGCACCAAGGTTTGGCATTTAGAGGACATGATGAAAGTGATGACTCACTAAATAAAGGATTGAGCTTTTAAATTGGCTAGCAGGAAACTTTGAAGAGGTTGATAGGGTGGTTCTAAAGAATGCTCCACAAAATTGTAAGATGACTTGCCATGATATACAACAAGAGTTGATCAAATGTTGTGCCCAGCTGACTACTAAACTAGTCATTGAAGATCTTGATGGTGGACATTTTGCAGTACTTGCAGATGAGTCTAGTGATATATACCAGAATGAACAACTAGCTGTTTGCTTGCGTTATGTGGATAAGAAAGGAAGGACAGTTGCGAGATTTCTTGGTCTTGCCCATGTTGAAGACACTTCCTCTTTAACACTTAAAGCTGCAATTGAGGACATGCTTATGGCATACAATTTGAGCTTTGCAATGGTCCATGGGCAAGGATATGATGGGGCTAGTAATATGAAAGGTAATGCTAATGGAATGAAGAAACTAATTATGGATGAGTCTCCTTATGCACATTATGTCCATTGCTTTGCCCATCAACTACAATTAACTCTTGTTGCTGTTGCAAAGGAGAGTGGTGATTGTAATTGGTTCTTTCAACAGTTGGCATGTTTGCTAAATGTTCTAGGCTATTCTTGTAAAAAGATGAGAATGCTTCGAATAGCTCAAGCTGAGGAACTTATTGCTGCATTAGAGTTGGAAGAAGTAGAAACTGGGACGGGTTTGAATCAAGAAATGGGTATTGGAAGGCCATGTGATACTCGTTGGGGCTCTCACTACAAGACTGTCAACCATGTTATCTCTATGTATCCGGCAATAAGGCGTGTTCTCATAAGGATTGCAAAAGAGTATAATGGCACAGAGGCAGTAGCAGCAATGACTATGTTGACATCATTTCGGACATTTGAATTTGTTTTCATGGCACACTTGATGCAAGAAATATTTGAATATACCGATGACTTGAGTAGAGCTTTGCAAAAAAAAAGATCAAGATATTGTTAATGCTATGGAGATTGTTGATCTCACAAAGCTGCACTTGCAATGCTTGCGAGAAGATGAAGGGTGGAATGATTTTCTTGAGAATGTCACTTCTTTTTGTGTAAAGCACAAGATCAAAGTTGTTGACATGGAGGCTCCTTACTATCCTGCTGGAAGACCAAGAAGAGGGTTCTTCAATGGCGCAAAGAATTACCAATGTTTCAAGGTTGAAATGTTTGTGGGTGTCATTGATAGGCAACTTCAAGAGCTGAATGCAAGATTTGATGAGGTAAACACTGAACTACTTACTTGCATGGCAGCATTCAGTCCACGTGATTCATTTGCTGCTTATGATAAAGAGAAGTTGGTTAGGCTTGCTAGAAAGTTTTATGCTAAGGATTTCACAACTGATGAATTGTCAAGACTTCCATGGCAATTAAGCATGTTCATTTCTCATGTGCGTAAGGATAAAAGGTTTAGCAAGTTGAAGAGTCTATGTGAGCTTTCAGTTTTGATGGTTGAGACAAGAAAGAATGAACAATATTATATTGTTTACAAGCTTCTTAAGTTGGTTCTCATTCTTCCGGTAGCCACTGCTAGCGTTGAGAGGGTATTTTCCTCGATGAAATACGTGAAGAATTCACTAAGAAACAAAATGGGTGATGAATATTTGAACAATTGCTTGGTTACATTCGTTGAGAGAGAATTCTTCGGGCAAGTGAAAGATGAGGATGTCATCAATCTCTTCCAGAAAGGGGATCGTAAAGTTATATTGTAATTTCCTTTGCTATTTGTAATTTTTCTTAATTGTTAGAGATATTGCCACAATGATATTTTGCTACTATTATCGATGTATGGTCATTGAGTCATTAATATTATCATCTTGTTGTACATTTATTGTTCTATTGTGTTGCTTTGGCATAAAAAATTTAAAAGAATACCCAGCAGCAAATTCGTGGCTCCGCCACTGCTACCTACTAGCACAAAGCTAGCGATTAGTGCTAAAAAAACCAAGCTAACGATCAGAATTTATATAAAGCTAGCGATCCAAATTGTGTCACTCGAAGCTAACGATCAGAATTTCTTTTGGAGGAAAAGCTAGCGATCAGGTGTATCAGTGAAAATAAAGTAGCACTACCACTGATTTGTTTTTTTTCGTCATCTTTTTACTGTCTAGCTTCTAGTAGGTTACCGACATTTTTTTTGCCTTTTGGTTCTTACGTTTTTAACACTGATATTTTATATGTTAATATTTAATAAAATACAAAGTTTTGATCAAAAACATGTTCATGAATTTAAATTAAAAAAATTCAAATTATAAAAAATGTCAATGAATATGAAATATGTTCTAACATATGGTGAACAATTCTTTAATACTCCCTCCATACACTTTGATAAGTTTTCAGACAACTAAAAATGAGCTGCTTTGCACTTTGTCTGAAATGTCTTCAAGGCCTTATAAAAATGAACAGAGAGAGTATATGATAATCATTTTGTGAATGCACACTAATTATTCTGTAATATACATTAAACTTCCTTGTCAATATATACAGTGACCTTTTTATATACAATAAACTTTTGATTATACACTGAACATTTTTTTAATATGCAGTAAAATATTTTTAAATACACACTTAACCTTTTTCAAATATACTGTGAACTTTTTTAATATACGGTGAACATTTTTATAGTATACACTAAATTATATTGAAACACATACGGAACAATTGATCGTGCATTCAAAATGTTCGTGGATTAGAAAATATTCACGATAATCAAAATTTGTTCGCGTATTCAGAAAATGTTCGCTGATTCAAAAAAATATTCACAAATATCCAAAAAAATCAAGAATTGAAAATTGTTCATAATTTTGAAAAGGTTTAGAAATTTTTTTAAAAAGGGGAAAGAAGGAACAAGAAAAAGAATAAAACAAACATAAAAACAACCAAAAGAACTAGAAAACCAATAGAGAAAATAGATAAAAAGAAGAGAAGAAGAAAGTGGATGCAACCATCCAAGAGCCTTAGAAAGTTTCCTAAATACTAGATCCCCAAACCCTGGCTCCTAGGAATCCCCAATCGCTTCCCAAAAAATCACTCGCTAACAGCGCAAACAGTCCGGCCCGCTAAGAGCGAATAGTGAGC